ATTGTCTCCTCGAGTTGTTTGTTTATGGCCGATAAATCGATTTGTGTGTCTGTGGCACCATTCTGTTTTTTTTTTTTTCAGAAGGGCAGGGGTACATTTCACCGCCACCGTAACAACGTTATTTGAATTGAATTGAGTTGATGTATGGTTTGGAAATTGTTATTTTTTTATTGTTGTTGTTTATTGTTAAATTTATGTCAGCCAACCCATTTTTTAAATTTCATTTTACATTATGACGGTATTTTTTATTGATAATATGTAGCAAAAAGTTAGCGATAAGGGATTATCGAATCGGCCATACCCCAATTGTAATGTGGTGGTGGTTTGTTTTTTTGAAATTAGTGCGTTTTAGCATTTATTTTGTTTATATTTATTGGTTGATTGTTGGTGTTTTTGAGTGTACGTGTTTTTATTTTATTTATTTTTGTTTTAAGTGTGAAATGCATTTTGTGTTTTATTTTTAAGGGAATAGGTAATAAGAGTTTGATAGATAGATAGAGAGATAGAGAGAGAGAGAGGAAAAGTGGGCAATTGTATGGTGTGGTTATTAGGTATTGTGTGTCAAGGGTGAAATATATTTACAGAGAGAGGAAGAGTGAAAGAGACAAGAGTGTAGGTAATATAAAATGGGGGAATATTAACGAAAGCATAGGCAAAACGCAAAGACAATAAATGCAAATGCAAGCAGGACAGATATAGTGTAGTGTAAGCATGTCAATGGTATTTACAGTGAAAAGTTAGGTTCACAAAAAATTTGTGGTAGATGTACGTGCAATATGAATTACGTGATGGTATACAACAATTTTGTTTTCAATTTTGCAATTTAAATTTTGAATTCCGAATTAAAATGTACAATTTCGTTTGAAATTTTAGTAATTTATTTTTTTTTTGTGTTATGCAAATTTTCAATTCAAATATTTTTTTTTGTGTAGGTGGGTGGGTGGTTGGTGGATTATTTCACAGTTCGATTCATGGTATGCGCATATATGAAAAAAGAGAAAGAAAAAGAGAAAAAACAAAAAGCATGAGAATTATGAAATTTCGTTTTAAGCCAATCAAATTCAAAAAAAAAAAAACGTTTGCGTAGTTAGATGCTTACTAGATGCAGGAAAACTTGTACTATGTATACCTATGTCTACTATTAATTAA